GGTTCAATTACCAATACCAGGAAAAAAAAAAAAAAAGCACATGATGAATGTCATAGAAGAGTGCACAAAACACTAAGAGACCCATCATTTGTGACAACGTGGATAGAACTAGGAATCATCATGTTAAGTGAAATAAGCCAGGCACAGGGAGAGAAGTACTGCGTGGTCACATTTATATGTGAACTCTAAAAAGTTGATCTCCGGCCAGGGATTTAGCTCAGTGGTTCCACCACCTGCCTCGCAAGCGCAAGGACCTGAGTTTGATCCCCAGTACCAAAAAAAAAAAAAAGTTGATCTCATAGAAGTTTAAGAGTAGAATGGTGGTTACCAAAGACTGGGGAGAGGGAAGGGTAGGGAAAGGTTGATCAGTGGGGTACTAAGTTACAGCCAGAAGCCAGAAGTTCTGGTGTGCTACTGCACAGTAGAGCACAGATAATGATAATGTACTGTACATTTCAAAAAACTAGAATAGGGCTGGCAATGTATCTACCTCAGTGGTAGAGTGCTTGCCTAGCATGTGTGAAGCCCTGGGTTGAATTAATCCTCCACACACAAAAAAATAATAAGGAAGAGGGGAGAGGGGAAGGGAAAGAAGAAGAGGAAGAATGGGAAGAAAAACAAAGACGGGGAAAGGGAGAAGGGGAAGGGGGAGGGGAAGGGGAAAAGGAAAGGGAAAAGGAAGAGCAGGAAGAAGAGGAGGAGGAGGAAAAGATGCTGAAAGTTTTCACCATTGAAGAAATAAGTATTTGAGGAGATACATATGTTTAAGGCACATGTATGTATACATGTGTACACATCCACACACACATGTATACATGTTTATATGTACATGTATATATCTAACTGCTACATGGGAGCTCATTAATATGTATAATTTTTATGATTTTATGTGTCAGTTAAAATTTTAACTTTGAAGCCAGGCGTGGTAGCACATGCCTATAATCCCAGCACTCAGGAGGCTGAGGCAGAAGGATCACCATGAGTTCGAGGCCAGCCTGGGCTACATAGTGAGTTTGAGGCCAGCCTGAACTACATAGCAAGATCCTTTCTCAAAAAAACAAAACACACAAAATTTAACTTTTAAAAATGGAAAAATACTAAAGGAACATAGACAAGAAGCTGTCTTCAGAAAGAAGGGAAGACTTCAAAAAGTAGATAATACCTTAATTGGGGTTGAAGGAAAAAGAGTTTGTTAAATGGAGACAAATGGAAAGGGCATTCTACACAGAAGAGATTTTGTTGTTTGTTTGGTTTTTTTGGTACCGGGGATAGAGCTCGGGACCTTGTGGTTGCAAGGCAGGTGGCGGAAACACTGAGCTAAATCCCCGGCCCACAGAAGAGATTTTGTACAGAATGGCATCAAATGAAACTAGCACAGGAAGTACAGGCTATATATGGTGAGATATGGACATCATGCTAAGAAACTTGAGAGGGGAGGGGAGTCCAATTTGTATTGAAAAGACTAAGGAATGGGGAGAGGGAAGCCAGAGGCCAAGGACCAGTTTTCAGGTACTGGTGATAGTAACCCAATGAAATCAGTTTAGTGCTGACATCTTGAATTTCTGCTTAAAATGAATTCAAATGGAATAGAAAAATTAGAGATAGGGCCAGGGATGTAGCTCAGTGGTGCTGCGCCTGCCTGGCAAGCTCAAGGCCCTGTGTTTGACCCCCGGTACTGGGAAAAAAAAGTTAGAGATTATCTGACACTATAAAGATGAAAAGACAATTTTTTAGAAAACTTTTGAATCAGATATATGTGTGTGTTCTGGGTCACACAGTAAAATGCGTTTGTTATTACAGCTTATGGGCAAAAACTTTCATTAGGTAACTGGTGACTAAAGGAGAATGCTCAGCTTTCTGGTATGGGCACCTGAATGGATTTACAATGCCAGTGGCCAAGACAAGGAAAGGAGGAGGGTACTCCTTTTATCAAGTCCATGTAGGGATTCGAGGTAGCTCAGATAGCAGGCTCTCTCAGCATTTTTTCAGCACTCACAGTCAATACTAATATTGTTCAGCAAAAACAATGGATGCCTAGTCACTGCAGCTGCAAGCTCACATGAATGGATAAACAATCGATAAGGGTCTTGCAGGAACTGGAAGGGGTCCCAGTCCTAAATTCCAATTTACAGAAAAACTGTGAAACCAGAAAAAGCAGACAGGGTAAGTGAAACATCATTTCTTCCAGGGAACTAACAAGATGTGAAAAATCCTCTCCCTTTTCTAAGAGCCTACACGGAAGCATCAACCTTCAGAATCTGAGAAGCATTTTAGAAAGTCTGTCACCAGGATATCTTTATTATTAGGAGTTTGTCTGGTTTTGGTTTTGTTTTAGGGGAGAGGAGTCTTTCCACTTTTATGACTGTTTTCAAAGCCTCTCTTGCTTCTCCCTCCAAGAGGTGCTTCAATCCCCATATATCTGGCCAATCAGTGCCAACTGCTGTAATTTTCAATTTGACTGTCCTTCAGTTACTCTCCTAGAACTTCAGGCTAAGAGAACAGGGCTAGAAGAGAGTAACTTCTCCACAGACTTGGGGTGGCTCCATCAGTTCTCCTACCCCCTATCCCTTAGAAGAGAGACGTCCCTCAAATTATTCTTGGAGAATCACAACACAATTGGGCCCTAAACTACTTTTCTGGTGACACTCCTAGTACATTCCTCCATAAACCCACCCCAGACACTTTAGACAACTGGCTGCCCCCAAACACTCTGTTCTGTCCATGATCTGACCTCTTCTCCTCATACTATCTAACCAAAATGCCCTCTTTTTCTCTAACAGAAATTCTACCCAACCTTCATGCTACCAACACAGTCACTTTTTTGATGATACTGGGCTTGAACTCAGGGCCTCATGCATGCCAGGCAAGCACTGAGCTATAATACCCCTAGACCAGAGCCACTCTTTATCTAATGTTCCCCTCACTTGCTGCTGCCACATTTGGATTTAGTCACACCTCTTTGTGCTTTCACAGCATCTTCTTGTGTCTTGTCCATATTATTTCATTATCATCCATTACAGGTAATTATACCTTATGCCTGTTTTTCACTAAAGTTTCTTTAAGGTATAGACCATGTTGTAGCCTTCTTTTCAACAAACCATGATCCTGAATACATAGTATATCATCAATAAGAGTTTGCTAATTCTAATCAAAAAGCTACGAATTCATTCCACCTAAACCTGCAGATCATCAAAACTAAGAGTGAGAAAAAAATAAATAAATAAAAATTAAAAAAAAAAAACAACTAAGAGTGAGAAAGGAGATGGAGAGACACCAAGCACAGTTTTAAAACAGGCAGCCTCCCTCTCCCATACTTAAATGGTAGTGGTACACCCTACTCCTCTGAGAAATTTAATCAAGCTCAGCAAGGAAAGCTAGGTAGCCATAGTTTGGAAACTTTAAAGAGCTACAAGTAGTTTCAAGGTTCTACCAGTTGCTATTAGTCAGATATTGACCTTGGGATGTGGTCACAGGGATTATATATTTTATTTTGCCATCCACTCCCTCCACCACTCTGATAACTCTAGCCATATAGGCAATAAAGAGTCTTTCATTCGGGCTCTGAATATTATCTTTGAGCTCCTCTGGGAACAGCTTAGCCTTCTCTCAACCCTCCCAGCTTTCCAGTGAGTAATTCTCCAGGGCCACCTCTGCAGTACTCAGCTTTTGAAAAGGTAGTTTTCCCCTCATTATACCCAGCTTCTCTTCCCTGCACTCTCTCCTTAACCTTCACCACAAAGACCAAAAGCATACTGCCTGCCTTCTCAGCGGCCTAACAGCGATGGCATGTTTCAAAGAACTAAGAGGTGGAACTAGGAAGGGTTTTGATAGTTGCACCTTCCCCTGTGATCATATAAGCATTATTTAAATTTAGCACAGAATCTAGCCATTCCTGTTTATACCTGATTATTTTATGAGTCTTATCTCCCCCACTAAACAGAGGGTTTCTTGAAAACTATCCCTAGTTCACAGCAGTGTCCAGGATGCAGTGTGCACTCAAAAAGCTACCAGCTTAGGGACTGGGGATTTAGCTCAGTGGTTCTGCTGCCTGCCCTGCAAGCACGAGGTCCTGAGTTCGATCCCCAGTACTAAAAAAAAAAAAAAAAGCTACCAGCTTAGGAAAAAAAATAACATAAAATAAACTGCCACCTTAGGCTCCTTTGTCCAACTTGGTGACGATACGAGTTCAGAAGAAACACTTCAGAGGTGACCAAAACCATAAAGTCTTTATTTTATGTAATAGTCCTGTGATGCAAAGCTCAGTTGAAAGCTCTCAAACAAGAGTCCTTTTGACAGGGTGGTCATTCCCCACATTCCTCAGATAGTCACTATGGTCAAAGCAGTAAACTTAGTTCTCCAGAATTTACTTTCCCAAGATCTGGCAACTCAAAAAATGTACTCCCCAGCCCCGACTTCAACAACTCCTATATCCCTCTGACCTTTAATACTGTGTAACAGTAGATGAAAAATTGATTTTTTTTGGCTACTTATTTCACAGCTGAAGAAAAAATATACTGTTTAAGGTGTTAAATATTTTTACATGCAACAAACTGGCATGAATCTAACCTGCACGCACATTTTAGAGGTACGGTGTATAAATGTCAGTGCTATAATTTGTTATAGGTTTCTGATGACCACCAATGAAAATGACCACGGATTCTCACAATTCAAACCACTTTTACGTAAATGTGAACTTTCCTAAAACAGCCAAGGGACAGAACTTTCCATTCAAGCTCTGAGAGATACTGATAGCACTGTTCACAGGGTTAGATGTTCTTTGAAAAACTCCTACAAATATTAGTTTCTTTCTGGACCTATGCTTTCACCTTTAATAAAAATGTGCTTCAAGACACCAGTTATTAAAATGAAAGGAACAGTTTTTCATCCCTGAAACTCTCATTTCATATAACCAGCCCTGCAGAAGGCTATACCTTACAAATCAACAGGGCTAAACAAACAAAACAAAAACAGTAGTGATTTCACTTAAATTGCTCACTTACCAGACATGAAGTAGGGTTATAAGAAACCATGAATTGAATGTATCTGGCATCTGACACCCTAAAAAATAACAATAAAATCTAAATAAGTGAGGGTTTAGAGAAGGCACACTGACTATATTTTAAATATTGGTAAGATTATGTTCAACTGAAATATACGGCAATATCATGTTTATTAGGCTTTCACAGAGAACAGTGGAAACATGTGGAAGCCAATGGAATGAAAGAAAACTGAACGGAGCCAGACAACCAGCCTTCTTCTTTCAGCCCTATTAGCACCTTGCTGTGTGGCCTTGGGCAAATCATTTTTTCCTCTGAATCTCAGTTTTCTCATTTTGCCTAATGCAGTCTAGATGATTTCTAGGGTTCTAGTTCTAGTTTTTTCTGGTCTCCTTTTTCTATCTTCTTCCTTTGAGGTGATCCAATGTGGTATAGTCACAGTATGTTGAACAATTAACTCAAATGAGCAGGAGAAATAAATGGGGCTCTTGGAAGCTGCTGCTAAGAAAGTAGATTATACTTAATGAAGCCCATTCATCACCCCTAAGAATGAAAGAACTGTGCAGGACCTCTCCCTGATTTCAGATCTTACAAATGAGATCTATACTCAGACATCCAGGCCTCTTAATTTTCAGAACTCTACGAAATACCTCTGGTTAGATGAGGGAACCCCCACGGAATACACATGAACAAGGAGAAAAACTAGAGTAAAAGGATGATGAAAAAAGAGAATCCATGGGAAAGTTGGGCCTTTATGATAGAATCTGTCCTTTGGGGCAATGACTCTAGAAAGAAGCGGCAACTTCTGCCTTTCAGCAATTGGTGAGTTACACAATTACTAAGTGATAACAAAGAGGGGTCACTAGGAGATAAAACATAAGGTAAAATGCTGTGAGGCATACTAACATCACCAATACTAATAGGGAGCTGTAATTCATTGGGGGCTTACTATGTGCCAGACTTTATAATAGGAGTTTCACATGCACTATTAGCTCAATGAATCCTCTCAACAAACCTATAAGGGTATTGATATTACCCCCATTTGACAGGTGAGAAAATTGACTCTTACAAAGGTCAAGACTATTGCCTAAGGTCATACAGCAGATTGACCTTGATATAAGACACTTAGGATCACATTCCAATCTGCTTGATTCCAGATACTATCTTCTTAATCACTTAGTACTCCAACTACTTCACTAATACTAAGATTGGAAACTAACCCTCAGAAGGACCCACAACACATGCCAGGTCCACTGCTAGTAATGTTTATACGTCCTCTTATTTAATCTCCACTTTAACCCTGAGGAAAACATTATAACCCTCATTCTGGAAATGAGGAAATGAACTCACAAATCGTACCCAAGTGTTGTGGCATATGCCTGTAATTTCAGCTACCTGAGAGGCTGAGACAGGAAGATGGCAAGCTGGAAACCAGCTTGGGCAACTTAGCAAGATTCTGTCTCAAAATAAAATAAAAAAGAGGGCTGAGGATGTACTAGCACTACAGCACTTGCCTAGCATGCATGAGGAAGGGTTTAATCCTTAATCAGTATTGAGGATTAATTGGAGGGTGGGGGGAAGGGGCTAAGTAAGCTGCAGGCAGCCACAATACTACTAAGCTAGTGGCAAAGCTTGGGTATGAATCCAGGTTTGTTACAAAGTGTCACCAAAGTACTCTGGTGAGGCTACTGGGAGGTGCCCAGCATCTGTCAAGTAGACTTCTGCTTCAAATCCAGCAGGAGGGAGTGAAGGCTGGCCTGGCCAGCTGTAAAGCTATTAAGACACATGCCATCTGAGAGGGGGCCAACTGCCTTCCACCTAGAACAAGAATAGCCTTGAGAAACTCTCAAACCTGGATCTGAAGTTGGGTCTTTTATTGGATGCTAGAACAAAACATTTAAAAGAAAAGTTTTCTTGGAAGTCTGTCTTTCAATCTGGAAAATGAAATTTGGCCACTTCTAAAGGACAATCTGTTCAACTGCTACCTCTACATCAAAGCTTCTCAGCAGCCTCCAGGAGCCTGTCCAGTTTTCTCAGAGGGAATCAATTCTTGGGCTGGAGACCACAGACAGACAGACAGGCCAGCAGCTGGCCCTGGGTCACAATTTTCCCTTCCAGGGGTCAGCTCAGGGCTGAGAATGAGAAAAGAGCTGGCATATGATTAAGCTCCTGTACCACTGGGGTTAGAACAGAAACACACAGCGGAAAGCCCTAAAAAATAAAACCCACGAATGTTTATTATAAGCAACATAAAAATATAGCATCTTCCTTAATTCAATGAAATGTGTTTACATACTTGAGAGTTAAAACCTGTGACAGTGTCTGCCATGATTATGACAGTATTACCACATTTTAATACAGGGTTAAGCTGCCTGATTCAAAGCCCTGACTCTACCCTTACTTGCTATATGACTCTGGGCAAAGTCACTAAGCCTCTCTAAGTGCCTTGGTTTTGTCTCTGAATAAATGGGGAGAATAAGATAATCTGTTTTATATAGTTTTGGTAAAGAGTCAATGAGATAAAGCCTAGAAAATGTTTAACAAAATGGTTAGTATTTACAGGTACTCAATAAATATTCACAATTGTCCTTCAGTGAATTATTTAAATATTAGGGTTTAAATTATTTTTTTTAAACTTCACTACTTGGCTAGGCATGGTGGTGCATGCCTATAATCCCAGCACTTGGGAGGCTCAGGCAGGAGGATCACCACAAGTTCAAGGATGGCCTGGGCTACATACTGAGTTAAAGATCAGCCTGAACTACAAAGCCAGACCCTGTCTCAAAACAAAACAAAACAAAACAAAGCCACCAAAAAACAAAGAAGCAAAACCTTCACTAATTATTTAAGATTGTATCAATAAAGCAACTAGGGTGAACCTCAACCTGATGCAGAACTTACTCATTAAGGATCTTCTTCTCCAAGGTAATTCATTAGTCTCTTAGGGACTAAAAACAAGTCTATAGCCGGCAGTCTGGAATTAAATGCAAGCTCTATGATTTCATCTCTGCTCCAAACACTCTTTATAGAACTGACCTCCAAAAGAGCAGTCAGCAATCCACCCCATACTCAGCAGGCACACTCTTTTGTTTTGGTACCGGGGAGGGAACTCCAGACCTTGTGCTTTCGAGGCAGGTGCCGGAACCACTGAGCTAAATCCCCAGCCCAGCAGGCACACTCTTTATGACAGAGTGGCACATCATCAGAACACAGTAGAAACAGTGGCCACTGACACTTCTTACCACTTCAAACCCCCAATACCTAGCTCTGGATCTAAACCTTTGAACACTTTGGCTCTGATATGACAAAGAGTCTATAACTTTGGCATTTTATGGGAGACCATTCAAGAGGTTAACAGGCCCAATATACTATGAGTACACAACTCACTCACATTCAGTCTTCAAGAAATGGCACCAGCCTCACTTCTGCTGGGGAAGGACAACACTGGCCAGCCACTAGAGACTCTCTATCCTCAGGACTAAAAGTTGAACATGCAATACGTCCTACCAGGCAATTCTCTAGAAAATTCTTTAGAAAATCTGAAGTGATGTCACTGAAAAATTTACTGCTACGCTACCTCAGTGTATCTACAGTGAAAGACAAAGCTAGGACAAAGTTCACTAAGATATACATGCCATACTACATATAAACATCAGTTTACAATATTAATACATCTCACAGAGGTAGTTTTCATTTAAATATAACGAAACACAAAAATATTAAGATAGATTAACATTTCTACTTCACAGTCACTTTCATTGACACAGGCAATATGCATCAGTGGGAAAATCTTTGGATTTTAAGCCAGACAACACAGATGCAAGGCTTGGCTAAGAAATCTTAGGCAAGTGACTTATCTTCTTGAAGTCTCAACTGTTTCTGAAAGCAAAACAAAAATAAACAATACAAGCCCCTACAGGCAGACCACAAGATTTTATAACTTTTAAATAAAACAAATGTAAAAGCATACTACTCTATATAAATGTGAGCTATTATTATATAATGATCACAACTTTTAATAAACTCTTTTTTTGTGTGTGTGCAATATTAAGTGTTTTTATTTTGTTGTTGTTTTTGGTACCAGGGATTGAACTCTGGTTCGCTTACAAGGCAGGCTGCAGAACCACTAAGATAAATCCCTGGCCCTACTTTTAATGAACTCTTAACTTTGTAGTTTGCAACAGGCTATGAATTAATATATGACACATTAACTTAAATAGGTAATAACAGTCATTATATGACACTATAATATTAACCCAAGAATTTTCAATGATCACAAGTTGGCCCAGACAAAGATAGCTACTAAACATTCTTTCAAAATAATTATAATAAATGTGTGTAAACATTTTATTATGTACTAATAAAAAATTTTAAAATAATTATAATACATTTCTGAATTATTTGTTGAATCAAATATTAAAAGGATATCTGAGGATGAAGTTTCTATTTAAAAGATCTGGTGGGAAATATTTAAACACAAGAGTTCAAAAAGCTACTTTAAAAAAACAGCTTTTAGGGCCGGGGATTTAGCTCAGTGGCACCACACCTGCCTTGCAACCGCAAGGTCCCGAGTTTGATCCCTGGTACCAGGGATCAAACTTGGGTCCTTGCACTTGCATAGCAGGAGGCAAAACCACTGAGCTAAATCCCCAGCCCTAAACATAATTATCTTAACAGTGAAGAAAGCTAGATTCAGTTCAATAACTTTTTGTTTTCAAGAATAAAACACTTATTTCATTGTTTCAGCGGGTTGATATTCAGAAATTTTAATTCATTGCCCATTTTTTATTTTTTATTTATAAGCAGGAAAGAAAATTTTTCTGCTTTTTGTAAACTCTAGCAATTTCTCATTTTAAAAGAAATTAATCTAAAGGAAAATATACTTTATGTACGTGATGCAGAAATTATTAATATTAGAAGCTGGTTTGGGCCGGGGACCAAAAAATAATAATAATAATTATGTTTAAATATTTGTCAGAGAAAAATACCAGGTGTATATACTTGTTACATGTTTGCTGCTTTGAGGATATGGCTGACACTATATAAGTATATAGCATCCATTTCCTTCTACAAAGTGTAATCATAATATATGATAAATGTTTAAATTTTTTAAGATTTAATATAGTAAAAGACATATTACCATTAATGCCCTTCAAAATACTTCCCCTCACTCCAAACACACTGATCTCATCATTCTTGCCACTTAATGAAGCAATTCTAGAAGTTCTCTTTCATTACTGTCTTTCTAAGGTGTGATAAAAATATGTGAATACTGGTGTCAAGTGCCATCCAACTAAAGGGTAGGCTTATAAAACATTGCAGTGGATCCTCATCCACTTTATTAATTGGATCTGACATTGTGAGACTTCTGGCTCTTCCGCAAAGGCAAAGTGACTATGAAAGGTAAATGTTTTTGGGTTTTTTTTTGGTACCAGGGATTGAACTTGGGACCTTGCGCTTGCAAGGCAGGCGGCGGAACCACTGAGCTAAATCCTCGGCCCCCAAGAAAGGTAAATGTTTTGAATAGATTCAGGACATCAAAGCACCCACAACAGTGTAACTAAGACATCACAAAAGAGGACTTTCAGAACTGCTTTAGAAAGTGGCAAGAATGATGGGATAAGTGCATTCAAAGTGTGGGGAGTATTTTGAGGGTGATTAATAGCAATGTGTCTTTTATTGTTATAAAAAAAAGTTTTAATTTAAACATTCATGTATTTTTCAATCATACCTAATAAACTCTGTGTTACTGGAAATGTCTTAAATTTTCCCAGTAGTTTTAATTAACTTTGCTAATAACTATAATAGCTTACAGGATCAAAATGAGTATTATATTGATACAGTTGACTGGCAGGGATGATCTACTCCAATAAAAGCCCTTTGAAAGGCAATTTATCAATGGGATATAAATAACAAAATTACATAAACCTTTTTATCATTAGCCATTTAATATAAAGAAGAAAAATCATGAGGCTTATTCCAGGATTAACAATTAAAAACCAGCCGGGAATTTAGCTCAGTGGTTCCGCTGCCTGCCTTGCAACCATAAGGCCCTGAGTTTGATCCCCAGAACCAAAAAAAAAAAAAAAATTAAGAACCAGAAGCAAAGGAGGATCGATTGGCAAAAAGTCTAGGTGAAAATGCTAAGTAAAACAGGTATGTACACTACAAGTTCATTGACATGAAAGATGTGTGTGCATTAGGCCAATGACAATGTCAAAGTATTAGACAAATTTTTTCAAACTTTTTAAAATGTTTTTTGTCTGCTTTTTTTTTTTTTTTCAGAGGGGGTCCTTGCTAATGTAGTTCAGGCTGGCCTTGAACTCACCATGTACCCTAGGCTAGCCTTGAACTCATGGTGATCGTCCTGCCTTAGTCTCCTGAGTGCTGTGATTACAGGTATGTGCCACCACACCTGGTTAAAATATTTTATATACAGGTTTCTTGTGCTTTTATAGTAAGGGAGAAAAACAGCTTGTTTTATACTTTGTACAGGAAAAATTGTTTCACTAGCGACTTAAAAAAAAACGTCTAAAGCCAGGTGAGTGGTGCATCCCTATAGCCCCAGAACTCAGAAGTCCAAGGCAGGAGAATCTTGAGTTCAAGGCCAGCCTGAACTACACAAGAGACTTTGTCTCAAACACAAAACAAAAAAATTTATCCTATTAAAATATAACCATAAAGATAAAAAGTAGATTCATTTTCCCTTTCAAAACTATCAAATAGTAACTTACTTAGAAAGAATTCCTCGAAGTCAGTTTTCTCCACACAGCTACTATACATGCGCAGGGCTGCAATCTTAATCTTCTAGACAAAGAGAATAAAACCAAACTCAAGACATGACCAAGTGGATGTTCTAGTGTCATTAGATATGAGTTACAGAATCTTACATTTCTTCAACTAGAAGGTTCCAAACCTGTCTTTGTCTTTAGGTAATTTAAACTTATCTAGGAATGTTTCCTTTCTTAAAGATAGCTGTTTATATGGACTTTGTGTTATGTTCACATTTTAGGGTTTTACATGAAAATGTTAGAGGTTTTTCCAATATTTAAATAAAAGCTATCCTTCGTTCCAAATCATTTCACCACATTTCTTCACCATTATCCACGTTAACACTTCGTATTCTGAAGTCCCTTTTATTATATAATTGCCCACACTTCCGGCCAAAATCAAACAAAAATCTTCAAGCCTTTAATGTTTCTTCAGTGGCACTACTAATTAGTCTAAAAGTGTTGTTGGTTTTTTGGGGGGGCTTTTTTCTATATTGTCTTTAGGGGTTTTGGGGGGGGCTTTTTGGTACCAGAGATCAAACTCAGGTCCCTGCACCTGCAAGGCAGATGGCAGAACCACTGAGCTAAATCCCCGACCCTGTCTTTAGTTTTAATAGTTTGTGTTTAAACACATAATACTGTATATTCAAACAAAGGTTTCTAGTGAATATAATATACAGTAGAAGGATGTACTTGTACTCCACCAGATTAGACAGTGTATTTCCCAAAACAGTCAGAATTCTCTCAGAATCTTGCTATGAGTGATCATTTTACTTTCTTCACTGAGCAATATATGTAAGACTTATTTATTTTACTGTATGTAAATTATGTCTTAATAAAAATAAATCTAAAAATAAAAAGTTGAATTGTAAGTCTGAAGATCAACTCAGTGCTACAGGAACAAGTATTTCAAGGACTTTTACAACATTTCATTAAGGAGCTAGGCATCGTGACGCACACCTGTAATCCCAGCACTCTGGGGGCCGAGCAGAAGGATCACAAATTCAAGCCCATCCTGCGCAACTTAAAAACTTAACGAGACCCTGCCTCAAAATAAAAAATAAAAAGAGCTAAAGATCTAATTCAGTGCCCTGAGTTCAATCCCTAGTACTGTAAAAACATACAAACAAGATCATTAAGGATGTAATAAAACACATCAACAAAAGGCTCAAAGAAGTTAGCTTGTTTGTTTTTTCCCTTAAAATGACAGGGAAAAAAAAAATGACAGGGAAAATTACAAATTCAAGTATGTATACTAAAAACAAAGATGCACTGACTACAAATGGCACAGCAATGTAGAAATCAGTAGAGCTGTTACAAAGATTCACCAATGATAAACTACACTCAAACTATATAACATTCATATTTTCTATATCCTTTAGAGTCCAATCAACTGTGTCTCTGATGAGCAGAAATATCTGTAAGAAGATAAGAAAGACTTGTAACTCTGACTGTAATTAAGATTTGCTTTGATGTCTATTATATCGTCAAAGCTTTTAGTCTAAAATCAGATAGGGGAAGAGTGAATATATAACAAATTAAATTCAGATAATATGCTTATTTGGGAAGTAAACCAGCATTTAGAAGACCATATTTAAACAAAATCCATGGTAAACATTACTAAAGAAGAACAAATTAAGCTTAAAAGCAAACAGAAAGAATACTATAAAAACAATGGCAGAAATCAATAAACTTCAAAAGAGAAAAATACAGAAAATCAAATCAAAGAACCTAGTTCTTTAAAATATCAATTGCGGGTCAGGGATTTAGCTCAGCGGTTCCGCCGCCTGCCTCACAAGCGCAAGGACCAGAGTTCGATCCCTGGTACCAAAAAAAGGAGAAAAATGTAAACAGAATTCATCAATATGTTAAAAGGACAATTTATCATGATCAAGTAGAAGTTATCCAGAAATGTTGATTCAACAAAAGTTGATTCAATACTGGCAAATCAATCAGTATAATTCACCATATTAACATACAAAAAAGAAGCAGCAGCAGTCACTACCAGTTTAACTTTATTAATATATGCAGTTCAGAAAGCACAGATCTGTACATCATCAATCTAATAATAATCTAATATCATCGGCCCTATTTCTATTCTTTTTTTTTTTTTTTTGGTACTGGGGATCGAACTCGGGACCTTGCGCTTTCGAGGCAGGCACCGGAACCACTGAGCTAAATCCCCAGCCCCCTATTTCTATTCTTGAGCCAAGGAATTTAGGATATCCCTTATCTTCACTTCCTTAGACAAATAATTTATTGAGTACCAAACTCAGTTGGTGGCACAGGTCTGGATGCTAACAATCAGAGGTAATCAAACAAGAATTCCTTCGCTCGTGGAGTTAATGGCCCAGTCCAACTATAGACAGATAGACAATTTTAACTAAAATTCCTAATGGCTAGTTTCCTTATTTTTTCTTAAATCCTGCAGTTTCCTTCAGGTTCCTCTATATAAAGTTCTCTAGCTTCATGATTAATCACCCTGTCTTTGGAAAGGCAGACTTGCCTCCAAAGCTGAAGTCTTTCCTTGAGAAGAAAGTTTTCCCTTCACAACACGTTCATGAAAAAGCATTCATTACAAATAATACAGACCTCACCAGATTGGCTGGTACATCTATACAGTGCTCATACTGTAGCAGTCAGAAGCATTTTATAGTTCATCACTTTTCCTGCAACAAAGTCAAGCCTTTATACTTGGGTAAGCCATTTTCCTGGACAAATCTCTAAAGCAAGTCCCTGAAGACCATCATACAGGGACTGGAAATAACAACTGGAAAGAGCCTCCTGAAGAATAATGCACTAATCTAAGTTAAGGAGGTAAGCGGACTAAATTTCCACCCAGTCAACACAAGCTGTTCTGGTCCTTGGATGACTTAATGTTATTTCATTCTAACTTTGGAAGCCTTCATCAGGCTACTTGACTAAAACTGAAGCATCTAGAATAGCTTTAGAAATGAAAATCTGCTCTCTTACTGATACATTTTGTGTCTCTCTACAAGATGGAAAATGAATGTAGTAAAAGGCTGGGACTAACAGTTGTATGGGAGTTGGAAGGGGCTTTTTAGTCACTTGTACTGGAATTCTTTCTCCAGCATCCCTGACTCATGGTCAACGAACAATAGGGGCCCCTCTTCAAACAAGATCAATGAGCTCGTAAGGCTATCTATATCCTACTGGAAGACAATTCTGGTGTCATCTTTGTTTTATTGAACTTAAATCTGTTTCATGTAACATTCATTAAACATTATTCTGACCACTGGAGTACTTTAGATTTAGTCTTTCATTCTCTTTTTATTTTCTGTATTTGCCCCTGAAATACTGAGAAGAGTCACCATGTTTTCTCTTTTCCAGGCTAAGCATCCTTACTTCCTGCAGCCATTCTTCATTCAACACAGTTTCTGAAGCTTTTACAAGGTTCACTGCCTACTTCTGAATATACTCCAGGTTGACAGTATCCTTCAGAACAGAAATAAATTTTTGGCTTAATGCTAAAACAGAAACTATTTACAGCATGTGGCAAAGTCTGATAAGTGCTGTCCTTTTCTTATATGATACTGCTATACAAATACAATGAAAAACAGAGCTAAGCATGGTGGTGTACACCTGTAATCCTCAGGAGGCTGAGGAAGGAGGATCCCTGTGAGTTCAAGGCCAACGTGGGCTCCACCATGAGTTCAAGACCAGCCTGAACTACACAGCGAGACCCTGTCTCAAAAAATAACAAACAAACAAATATGATGAAAAAAAAATTTATTTTAAGATACTCAAATAGGTAAGGAAAAGCTACACTGATCATCCTAAGTATGATCCTGAAAAAAAAAAAAGGGAACCATATATGAAAACATTAAAGAAAAATATAGAGAAAAGATAGTTGATACTACTGACATGAACAGACATTTTATTCTCTAATCAAATACTGTGAAAACACAAAATAAAGAGTTTTCCAATGTAATCTAATGGAAGTGTCTAGCCATAGATTCTCAGTCAAGAATGCTGTAAAGGGCTTTCCATTTTTTTTTGTAGATACCACCCCACCACCCCCACCCCCGTACTGGGGATCAAACTTAGGACACTGCGTTTGCCAGGCAGGTGTGGCACCACTGAGCTACACCCCCAGCCCCAGGCTTTCCTCTTTTTTTTATGTACCGGTGATCAAACTAGGCTCCTTGTGCTTGCAAGGCAGCCGGCGGAACCACTGAGCTAAATCCCCGGCCCTTTCGATTTTTTTTAAATGAAAGGTTATATCTACATTTTATACCAAAAGCATACTAGAATGACATACTTTGATCTTTTGATGTCACAAATTTAAAAATGAAATTATAGAAAGTAGATACTGCCACACACAGAAGATTTTTAAAATGCAAATATCAGGGATTTAGTTGAGGTCACAGAGGGAACCAAGAAATATCAGAGGCTACCCTAAGCTAAAAAGAGTGAAAAATTTTCCGGATGAGTTACTAATCCTTCAAGTGGTAGCCAATTTTCCCTCTGAAATTACAAAAAAACATTAGACAAACCATACAGTAGTAACCAACTAGAGCCCAATCACCAAGAAATTAATAAAACAGTAAATATTTCTTTTTTCTTTCTGCTTTCATTTCCTTCTTCTTTTAATTTCTAATTTTCAAACAAAACACATATTTTAAGTTTTAAATCCAAATATCATAATCACTTTTTTTTTTTTTGTACCAGGGATCGAACTCAGGACCTTGTGCTTGCGAGGCAGGCGGCGGAACCACTGAACTAAATCCCCGGCCCTAACATTTTTTTAATATATAGGAAAAGATTCTCATCAATAATACCACCAAATACATCAACAATTTATCAATTATCAAAGAATTGAGATTTAAAAATAAAAATTTAATGTACATAACTAATATTTCCTCAATGATTTAGAAGGTACTGCATAACCTTAGGGTCTCAAGAATATCATTATTGCTTAGTATTTGTGTTTTCTCTATACATTTCAAAGTTCCTTCCAAATAAAATGCCTGTGGAACCTCTGTTGCCTTTTCAGAATTCAGGTTAAAAGAGATTACAGACCATAGTCTATACTGTATTTGCTGCAATGAGACCTATTAGCAAGAGAAGCCATTGTAAGAAGAAACCAAAAGTAGAGTCTACATTAAACCTGAAATTCAAATTTGAATCCAACTTATTAAAATAATGTAACTTGGGCCAGGGATTTAGCTCAGTGGTTTCGCTGCCTGCTGCGCAAGCGTAAGGACCTGAGTTCGATCCCCAGTACCAAAAAAAAAAAAAATGTAACTGCCAAGACTTGGTTGTTTTGAGCAAAATTATGATAGTTTCTAGAAAAGCAAGTATTATTCCCTCCTGCTTTATGTTGCCTTGCTGTGATGTATAACTTATAAATATTTAGGCTTATGCTAGCAATCCTAAATAGCATTAAAAAGTGCTGAGCTACAGTAACAAGACACATGGTAGTAATAAGTGTTAAATAGGCTGAGAAGAACTGAATTCCTACTGCTTTATTATTTTAATTCATTAGAGGTATTATTTTAAAAGTCTAACAGTAATATACACCTGATGCAGACAGGCCATTCATTCCTAGAAACTACTATATAACAGGTATGTGCTAGGCCGAGAACTGACTAGGAGTGACACAGGCAGCAAATACCTCTCTATAATAAAATTGTAGTAAGTCACAGGATCAATTTTAATAAAGCTACTTATTTGTTTGTTGTTGTTTTTTTTAAGAGTGGGGAAACTTTATTGGGAGAAAAAAAGCTTCTGTCTGAGACAGAAGGGGGACTGAAAAGTGGGCTGCCTCTAAAGCTACTTATTTGTAAAAGTTTGAAATCACAACAATGACCTAGTGAAAATCATTAATGAAAATGGATTAATTGGAGAGCAATGCTTTTTAAAGAATACTTCATCAGAACATCTGGCCTCTCTGATCCCTTAGAACTCATCTATATGGCAAATCACGTAGCAAGGGCCTGAGGAGTCCAGTCTTCTGTGCCTGTCATTGTAAGATACTTACAAGGAATCAAGGTGGGAAAGTATTGCAGCTCCACAAGCTATATAATAAATCTAACTAGGAAGTGGGGGGGAAGGAGTATATTTTGTAGAAATTCTCAAAATAATGTATGAATTTCATAAAAGCAAAGAAGCTTTAAAAAAAAAAAATCTATGAGGCAAGCTGGGCAATGGTGATGCATGCCTGTAATTCCAGCACTTAACAAGGTGAGGCAGGAGGATTGCAAGTTCTAGTCCTACGTGGGCAAATTAGCAAGACCATGTCTCAAAGCATATAAAGGGCTGGGAATGTAGCTCACTGCAAAGGCCCTGGGTTTGATCTCCACTAATGGGAAAAGAAAAAAAAATCTGTGAGAAATAAAAGGGACAAAAAAAAAAAAGGAAAAATAAGAACTTGAAAGACTTTACCCATTTATTGTATTTCAAAGGTCCTGTGAATCCCATGGCTTCTATTATCTTCGTGAAGGCACCAACCTTTTCCTCAACTGGCTGTGGGGAATCTTTGGTAGCTAGAAGCTATTTAGCCAAAAAGAAGGAAACCAAAATTAATTGCAAAATTTTTTTACAGGAATGCTTTTATTCCTTGTGTAAGAGTATTTATATTGCTTAGTTTTTTATTCCCCTAGAATTTTTAATTTTCAGGTTTTTTAGGCATCGTATCACTAAATGCAAACACACTTGGAATGGTATCTAGTAGATAGTCCCCAAATTACAGAGCAAGATATACCCACCTCAGTGACCATGGGCTTATGAACCAATGTCTATGAAATCATATATTTGGAGTACAGAATAAAAGTTCTATTAGAAAGAGTATTCTTAAAAGGAAATTTTGCTGGGCATGGTGGCCCATGCCTGTAATCCCAGCTACTTGGGAGGCTAAGGTAGAAAGATTACAAATTAAAGGCCAGTCTGGGCAATTTAGTGAGATCCTGTTTCATAAATAAAAATTTTTTTTTAAATGCTGGGGACATAGCACAGTGGCTACAACCCTGAGTTTTATCTCTAGTATTATAAGAATACGAAATAAAACAAAACAAACCACAAGCAAAACAAAAGGATATATTGATCCCCATTTCTCAAAGAAGAATTCTGAGAAGAGGAATGTTCTTTGTTTATGGGTATAAAAGGAAAAGGAGAGAAAAACACCATCTGAAAGCAGACAAAGGTCATCCAAAACCACAACCAAAGCAAGCATGGAATAAACATTTTTAAACTTTTATATTCTTTAGTACAACAAATTTTATTAATGAATATAAAACATATAGGTCTTGCAGTTTGAAAACAAACTAAAGAAAACCTGTCTGATTACTAAGTCTCTCTAAAGGAATATCTAACCAATAAAAACTTCTCTAGGGCTGGGGATTTAGCTCAGTGGTTTCACCACCTGCTGCGCAAGTGCAAGGATCTGAGTTCGATATCCGGTACCAAAAAATAAATAAATTTTTAAAAAAACTTCCCTAAAAGTTAAACTATACTTTTTTAACTTGTACTAAATTCATAAGACTTTTTTCCTCTAACTTCTTTCCAAAAAAAAAAAAAGTACAGTGGGGCCAGGGATTTAGCTCGGTGCCGCCACCTGCCTCACAAACACACAAGGTCCCGAGTTCGATCCCCAGTACCAAAAAAAAAAAAAAAAGGTTCGAGACAATTTGAACACAGCTTTAAATACCTGCTTTACTCTAACCAAAAATAAACCTTAATGAGAAGAAAGTAAGTATTTCCTGGGTTCTTTACCTGAGTGCTTCTATCAATGCAATGTTAAGTCAGAATATTTATACTGAAGCTACTGATATTGATACCATTTTCACATTAGTAATTTAAAAAAAAAAAAGTACAGTAACAGAAACACATGGCATAAGCTCAGAAGACTTCAGTTCACATATTCAGTTTGTCTGTTACTTACCAGCCTCTGTGATCTTGGGCACTTTCAGACTCTGAGTCTCACCTTCTACATTTGCTTAAACTCCAGCCTCACCTAGCTAACAATTTTGTTGAGATCCAAATAAGAACATCTATCTAAAAGCACTTTATAACAGAAAGCTCTAATAATTCTCACCTTATTTGTGATGTGATACTTCCTCCTCAGCTGTATGTCTATTCCAGGGAGCTGTTCTGATGTAGCACAGCTTAAGGATTGGCTCATCTGGGGCCACCAGGGGATAAAAACAAAACAAACATGCAAGCAACACTGAATATTCACTCAGAGGCCTAATCTGAGCAGAGCTTGTTCGAAATAAAGACTACAGGACCTATCCAACCATGCTTAGCCCAGTTCCTGGTAATCTCGTTACCAAAAGGATCTAAGACCAGTACCTGGAATTGTGCCTGATACATAGCAAGCACTCAATAAATACATATTAAATACTTGAAGAAATAAAAGTATTCCACCCTAAAAACATGAGTCAAATGTAGGCAATAGAATTATGGTATCTATTTAAATATTGGTAGGATTGTAATATATGGAAGAAAAAAGACACCAATTTTAATTTTAAAACTTGCTTCTGTCACCTACAGCTCAGAGTGATAAGTAATTTACTGAATCTTAGCTGCAGTGAGGATGAAAGGAGACAATTATGTAAAGAGCCTCTCACAAATCAAGTACTCAACAATTGTAGAACCCAAGGCCTTTGCACTGAGGAATATTCCAGCCATTCTTTCATTTTTTAATTTGAGACAGGGTCTTACTAAGTCACTAAACTGCCCAAGCTAGGCTCAAACTTGCTATCCTTCTGCCTTCACTTCTCAGAGAGCTGAGATTACAGGTGTGCACCACCATGCCTGGCTACATATTTCCTTCTTCAATCTTCACAATTCTATATTCCCTCCTGCCCTTTTTTTTGGTACCGGGGATAGAACTCAGGACCTTGTGCTTGAGAAGCAGGCACGGTACCACTGAGCTAAATCCCTTGCCCCATTACTCACAATTCTATTAGATTGGTTTTTAAATTATTTTTTATGGGTTCACATTTTAAATTTATTCATTATTCTTTTTTTTGTAAATAAATGATTGAAGGGTCAGGGATTTAGCTCAGTGGTTTTGCCACCTGCTGCGCAAGTGCATGGACCCGAGTTCGATCCTCAGTACAATAAATAAATAAATAATGAAATAATGCAACACCTTAAATTCCACAGATTGGTTTTTTTGTTTGTTTTGAGACAGGGTCTCATTATGTAGTTCAATCTCGCATTGAACTCACTATGTGACTATCCCAGGCTAGCCTCAAACTCACAGCCATCCTTCTCCCTCAGACTCCAGAGTGCAAGGATTATAGGCAAAAGCCACTACGTCTAGCTAGATTGGTATTTTTTTTAATAATCAAGAGCAATACACACAGTATTGAAAATAAATTCCTAAAGAGAAAACTAAACTACATGCAAGAGATCTTCATTGTGCATTCATTAATCATTAAGAGTGAAAACTACAGGAAAAGTGTAATAAAGAAGATGGTTAATTAAGGTTACAATCACCTAATAATGGAAAATCAGATGATCGTTGATAGCTCTTTAAGCAGATTTTTAGGGGTGGGGATTTAGCTCAGTGGTTCTGCTGCCTGCCTTGCAAGCCCAAGGTCCCGAGTTCAATCCCCGGTACCAAAAAGAAAAAAAAAAATTTTTTAATAGATTTTTTAAAAGCAGTTTCAGGCTTACAGCAAAGCTGAGCAGAAAGTACAGAATTCCAATATAACCTTTCCTACCCACATGCACAACTTCCTCCACTATCAACATTCTACACCAGAGTAGGATGTGTTATCCTCTGTCACCCAAAGTCCATAGTTTACATTACAGATTTTTTTGGGGGGAGTACCAGGGATCAAACTCAGGACCTTGCACTTGTGAGGCAGGCAGCAGAACCACTGAGCTAAATCCCCAGCCGAGATTATTATTTTTAACGTGAAAAAATATCTAAAACATGGGTAAAATTATAAGCAAAAACATGAATACATATGGGTAAGTGAAGGAAGCCTACCACAGAAATGAAGGGGTTATTCTGTTACATCATAATTATGACTAGTAGGCAGATATGACAGTACATACCTACAGCCCAGCACTCTGGGAGGCTGAGACTGAGGCAGGCGGATCACAAATTCAAACCCAGCCTGGGCAACTACGTGACTTAGTAAGACCCTGTTGCGTAATTTTACAAATTTTAAAAAGGACCGGGGATGTAGCTCTGCAAAAGCCCTTAGTTCAATCCCCAATACTGAAAAAAAAATTACATACATACATACATATGCAAACATTTGTATGTATGAGGCTGGGGATACAGTTCAGCAGAACACTTGCCTACCATACGTGAAGCCCTAGGTTCAATGTCTGGGTACCACCATTAAAGAAAGAAAGAGAGAAAAATTTATTATGGATAAGTTTAGGAATCTAGTTTCCAAACTCTCAGTAAAGTTCTATTACCTTCAAAATAAAAAGAATAGGAAAAAAAAAAGAAAAAAGAAAGACTAGGGAGGGAAGAGGAAGAGGATTAATCTTCCAATTCTGGTTTATTTCAAGAGAGAAAGGACACGTGGAATGAAAATGATTTTCCTCTTTACTCTTAATATAGGAAGAGTACAATTCCTAATTGTAGAACATAATTATTTACATTTCTTTCCTTAACAAGGGAATTAGAAGATGCTTCTGGTCAATCCCAGGGACACTTAGACTTTAATTCATAACTACTGAGCACACTTTGTAAAACACAAACTAAACAGAGAACACCTCCCATGCCATCACATATATCAGTGTAATGGTCCATCTGGAACAACATCAAGCACTGAATCCGGTTCAAAGAACATAACCAAGAGCAGATTCAAGAAGCTGTGCTTTAGGCTGAGTTCTCTTCCATGAGAATATATGATCTTTCTCTTTTCCCACAGCTCCAGAAGTACTCAGTGGATTCTTTCTATGGATACTCCATCGCCTGCTGTATTTCTGTCCTGCCATTACTCATGATTTTCACATTTCATACTATATTGAACTACTGAAGTACCTATGTATCTAGTACCAAAGACAACAACTAGTTTTCCCACATTTACGGTTACCTATAACACATACTTTGTTCCCCCACTCTTGTCCGTCCCTGCCCAAAAGGATTAACTCAACCCTTAAAGACAAATTTTTCATTTGTTTAAATTGAAAAGACATCAATAAATAACTTTTTGTAAAAGAGAAAAATACCCTGAAATACCTGAATGTCATTTTTTCAAAAACAGCCTGTCTGACCACCTTATCTAAAAAGTTTCTCTCCATCTGCATTATTCTCTACCATAGTAGTAACCTGTTCATTTCTCTCATAGTACTTTTTATAATGTATAATTACATATTTATTTATATATTTGCTCATTTTCTATCACAAGTACCAATATACATGAGGGAAAGAACTAGGTATATTACAGAATCAAGTACAGTTGCACATGAGAAACTCAAATATTTGATGAATGAACAAATGCCACCACCTGTATAACTTCTATTTCTAATTATTTCCTTCCTGTCCTTGTCTACACACATCATATATATATGCTTTGCTGACCCAACCTGTACAAAATGCTCAGGATATGCCAACTCTTGTTGGGGATAGAAACAGAATCTCCGTCCTCAAGGAGCTCATAATCATGTGAAGAAAAGAGATTCACCCTACAATAAACAGAACCAATTACCATATTTTGTCACCCATCACAAAAGAACAAACAAAAATTCCCAAGTGTTGGTAAGGATTTAGAGCAATAAAACTCTCATACACTGCTGGTGGGAGTATAAAATGTTAGTCACTTTGGAAAGTACTTGGCAGCATTTATTTAAGCAGCACTTATGTATAACTTGTAAGATTCAGTAATTCCACTTCTAAGAATATACCCCAACAAAATGTACAGATATGTTCACCAAAACACACACAAAAATGGTACTATTCATAAAAGTCCCAAAATGGAAACAACCCAAATATCCATCAATAGAATGAATAAACGAATTGTAGTATATTCATATAGTAAAACACAGGGCCAGGGACTTAGCTCACAAGCACAAGGTCCCAAGTTCAATCCCCAGTACCAAAAAAAAAAAAAAGTCATATACTAAAACTTTGCACAAGAAAACACTACTGCTACAAAGAACAACATGGATGAATCTCTAAAACAAAGCTAAACGACAGCAAACAAACACAGAGACTACATAGTGTATTTTTATTTTATTTATTTACTTGTTTTTGCAGTCCTGGGGATGGAACCCTGGGCCTTGAACACACCACTGCACTACATCCCCAAACCCTTCTTCTGTATGTTTAGAAGACAAACTAATCTATGGTATTCAAAGTGAAGTCTACAGTTAACCTTGGTTGGGGGTAATGACTAGAAGGGTATCTGGGAAGCTTCTGCAGTCCTGTTTTCTATTCTTTTTTTTTTTGGTACCGGGGATTGAACTCGGGTCCTTGCACTTGCAAGGCAGGCGGCGGAACCACTGAGCTAAATGCCCGGCCTCTGTTTTCTATTTCTTGATGTGGATGCTAGGTATGATTACTTTGTAATAATTCATTGAGTTGTGATAACTCATGATGCCATTTTTCATATTTGTATTATACCTCAATAAAATGTACAAAAATGATCAGATGTGGAATAGGCAGTGTAGACAAAAGAAATGGAAAATAACCTGGAGTCATAAGGAAATACATCATAGGAAAGGGGAGGATACCAGTGTGGTGGTGCATGCTTGTTATCCTAGCATTTGGGAGGCTGAGGCAGAAGGACTGCCGTGAGTTCGAGGCCAGTGCAGGCCACATGGTGAGTTGAAAGCCACCCTGGACTACATAGAGAGATCCTGTCTCAAAAAAAAGAAAAGAAAATGTTCTGGCACCTGCCTCGAAAGCACAAGGTCCCGAGTTCGATCCCCAGTGCCAAAAAAAAATAAAAAAGGATAGACATTTGGCCCGGGGATTTAGCTCAGTGGTTCCGGCGCCTGCCTCGCAAGCACAAGGTCCTGAGTTCGATCCCCAGCACAAAAAAAAAAAAAAAAAAAGAACAAAAAAGAAAAGAAAAGAGGCAGGATAAAAAAAAAGATAAACTAAGAAGGCAGAGGTGAGGTAGCATGGTGTAGTGGGAAAAAAAACACAAAATGAGGGACCCTGATGGTAGTTCCAGTCTGTTTCATAAATGTTTTGACAACCAAATAAAATAATGTATGTGAAAGAGATGTGTAAACTACAATGTGTAGGTCGCCAGGCATGGTGGCACATGCCTATAATTCCAGGACTTGGAGGCTGAGGCAGGAGGACTACTGCAAGTTTCAGGCCAGCTTGGGCTACATAGTGAATTCAATGCCAGCCTGAACTACATAGTGAGTCTCTGTCTCAAAAAAACCAAAAAATATTACAATGTAAAATATAAATGTAAAGACCTATTCCAGACAACTGCAGTGATAAACTCTTACAGACAGCCCCCATTAATAGAAATAGGTAAGATTTCACCACTGTTTCCAAAAGATTCTGAAAGAAGCCTCCTTAAAGAGAGAAAAAGAGGGGGCCGGGGATTTAGCTCAGTGGTTTCGCCGCCTGCTGCGCAAGCTCAAGGACCCGAGTTCAATCCCCGGTACCAAAAAAAAAAAGAGAGAGAAAAAGAGGGTGACCGAAGGTCAGAGATAGACTCAAGTATTCTTAAATGTCATATGGAGGGGAGGGTATCTTATAGTCTACTAAAACTATAAGCTCCACCAGGGCCCAGTCCATCTTATACTCTTTTTATTTTGTCCCAATGCTCAATATCATTCTGGGCATGGTGTTGGTACTCAATAAAAACTAGGTAGATACTTTTTTCTACTTTTTTCAAAGAGTAGGACAACTTGGAGAAGGTCCAAAAAGGAACCATAGGAATGATCAAAGGGATCAATAAAAGGTCCTAGTGGAAAGGTTAAAATGAATTGAAGTGTTTAGCTTGGAGAAAAGGCAACTGAAGAATTAAGCTTAGAATAACAACATTTGAGCTGGAAGAGAGCTCAGAGGTCTTCTAGTCCCAAATTTTCACTTCACAGATGAGGAAACTAAAACCAAGGGAGAGGTTCCAACATAGTTAGGACTTTTTCTTTTAAGTTTCACTTTATACAGTGAGGCAAAAACTCACCCAAGTAGCATGAACATAAATAGCAACCAAAAGAGCAGTTTCAACTCACTGAGAATTCCCTATATCCTTGGTATACGTTTTGTGTTTTACTTGTGTTATCTCACAACTACCTTGTAAAGCAGATACTATTTCTTTCCCACTCTAGAAATTAGGCCATTAAGGCTCAAGAAAGTTCATTACTAAATAAAACATATTTAAAACTATGGTCTCTCCCCTATACCAAGGTGCCTTTAAAACCTGAGTTCAACACACATGTTCAAACATCTTTATTTCTAAATACCATTTTTCAATAAAAGGAACTGGAACTCCTTGGAGAAATGTGTGAATCTAGGGCAAGAACAAAGAAAATACAACATGAACCATCTGGTGGTGCCAGGAAATAAGGGAGTGTTTAAAAATGACGCGGACATGTGAAAAGGAACTTGAAGGAGTTCCCAAGAGCCAAAACTGGGATAATTCATTTGATGAAAAAAATAACTAATTAGAATGGATTATAACTCATAGAAGAAAACAAACATCCATGAGCTCATACTGATAAATAACTGGGAAGTAAGGGGGAAAGAAGTGACAGCTCCTCCTTTCAGAACTCCAGTTAATACAGGAATGATACAAACAGAAAATCACTACTAAGCAAATAACCATAGTTGCAGTCAAGAACTATCAGTAGAGGGCCGGGGATTTAGCTCAGTGGTTTTGCCACCTGCTGCGCAAGTGCATGGACCCGAGTTCAATCCCCTGTACCAAAAAAAAAAAATTATCAGTAGAATTATCATATAATCCAGCAATTCAATTCTGGGTATACACACAAAAGGGTTCAAAGCAGTTTCTCAAACTAGTATTTGCATACTCATGTACACAGCAAGATCATTCATAATAGTCAAGAAGTAGAAGCAATCCAATGTCTACTGACCCAAATAGATAAAGAAAATGTGATATATATGTTTTTATATATATTATATATAAGAATATACAGTCTTACACTATAACATAGATGAACCTTGAGGACATGACACTAAGTGAAATAAACTGGTCACAAGATGTCAAATACTATATGATTCCACTTAGATGAAGTATCTACAGTAATCAAACTCCCTATAAAAATAAAAAGGGAGCGGTAGGGGAAAGGAAAGAAGGGAATGGAATTAATATGAAAAAATGAAAAAATGGAAACAAAGTCTTTATAAATAGGGAGGGATGGAGGGGCTGAAGGGAGAGCAGGGGAAGAGGGAAAAAATAAGAACCAAGAGAGATTATGTAAAGGTGCAAATTTCCAATGATGAATGTCATTATACTGTATACCTAAAATGTACCAATAAAAAAATATATATATGTATATACTAAGAAAATGGTAAGAAAAAGCCTATAACGACAAGGGAGGGGGATAATTCGAATAACAAAGGCTATCTAAACCACACAAATAATGCCTGCTTTAATAAAAGTGAAAAAGCACCAAAATAGAAAATGGAAATGTATTCAGGTACTTAAGGAAAAAAATTAGTATACACATACACATAGGGCTGGAAAAGAACCAACAGAGATGAAAATAATGGTATTTTCAGATTTGAAGTCACAGGTCATTTTTATTTCCTTTATTATTAAAGTACTTATATAATTAACAAAAATCAGGAAAAATTAAAAACCCTCACAAGGGAGATCCAAGGCTAACTACATTATAATGAATCATGCAGCCAATGTTAGGGAACCTAAGGCCTCAAATAATTGTTCCTTGAATTTTATATTCATAAAAAGAAAAAGAAACATTTTTCACCCCAAATAAAAGCAGCTTCGAAAATAAAATTTTAAAAAGTTAACTCTGAAATGAATGTCTGGAAAAATTCTCTAACAGTAAAAATCATCAGACTGTAACATGGTATCCTAGGCTAAGTTCCATCGGTGGAGCATTTAGAAGCAACGCCCTGGACACTATACTGTAGGAATCAGTCCTGAGCTGGCACCATAGAGACCTACAGTTCTTATGAGGTTTTTCCATCACACAATTTGGTTGACTAATCTATATTTGCACATAAACATTAAGGTTTTCATATTAAACCAAAGAACAAATCTTACCTGGGAAGTGCCAGACAGCCTCCTGCCCCACTGCCCTTGGGTAGGAGACAATGGTATGAATTGGCTGCATACTGGAACCCACTGGGAGATGCTTGTCTGCCTCCCCTAGAAAAAAAAGAAAGCATATCAGGAATCTATATCAGACTCCCTATTTGGAGGCCAGCGTGTCCCTGTGACATTGTGATATAAGAAGTATGTATTTGGTCTTCATTTCTAGTTCCTGGCTCAAAGATCCTAGAACCCTTGGAATTTCTGAGTGACTGGAGTGTTTTGCTATTCACAATAAGCCCCTCTCCCCTCTAGTAAGGTGACTCTTGGTTGATGGGGGGGGTGGCTGCCAGAAGAACCAACCAAATGAGTTGGAACTTTCACCTCAATATTTAAACCTTACAATCACCACCCAGTGACACAGGTATATTGTTATCCCCCTACTTACACAGATCAAGAAACTGTGCCATGCATAGGATAAGCAACTTTCCAAAATCACATAGTTAATAAACAGCAGGTTGAGGACTGGGCCCCAGGCAGCCCAACTCCAGGATCCATGCTCATTAACGGGATGAAAAGGTATAGGGATTATCTCCAAGATCTCTTCTAGCTTTAACAGTAGAAGCATAACCAATAGTAGAGTCTTGAACCAATTAAAACAGCATATTGGGCTGGGGACTTAGCTGAGTGGTTCCACTGCTCACCTCGCAAGCACAAGGACCAGAGTTTGATCACCAGTACCAAAAAAAAAAAAAAAAAAAACCCCAGCGTATTAGCTGGGTGTGGTGGAGCAAGCCTATAATTCCAGCTACTCGGGAGGGTGACGATCAGCCAGAGCAATTTGGCAAGATCATGTCCTAAAATAAAATTTTTTTTAAATGACTAGGGATGTAGCTCAGTGTGAGACCATGGTTTTAATTCCCAATGCCACTATTATCTATATCTATAAATAAAATAAAACAACATATTGTAGAAAGAGGTACTTGGAATTAGCACCAAGTTGACTCCTGGTTCCTGTGTTCATAAACTACATATCAGATAACAACTTCAGTGGGGCTTCATCATCTCTTCTACAAAATAAATACCTACTTCTTCTTTTTTTTTTTTTTTGGTACTGGGGATTGAACTTAGGACCTTGCGCTTGCCAGGCAGGTGCTATGCCACTGAGTTAAATCCCCGGCTAAATACCTACTTCTTATAATTAAAAACAACAAACATACATGTGCTGGCTTCAGAAGCACATATACTAAAACAAACATACCTTATAATATGTCTAGTATTAAGAGGAATCCAGTCTCTAGTTCCTTATGAGTAGGAAAGAAAGGTCAGGGTGGAGTAGGGAAAGGCATTAGAATTCTAAACCTACAAATGCTTTCTAAAGTGTCTTCACATCTAAAATTGTGCAACTGTCTCAAATAGGCTACTCGGAGCACCTTATATTTCAAATCAAAAGTAGAGCTAAATATATTTTATTTCAGCTGAGGTTTCATCTATTGGAATGGTTTCCAAATGACAGTCACTGGTGTGTTGTTTTATTAATACTGACAGATTTACCAGAATGATGTCAGGTGCTCTTTTCTAAAAATGTAAACATGGGTTAAAATAAAACTACAGTCAGGGCCAAAGTGGGTAGGAAGAAGCAAGAGGATATTACAAGTAGAAACAATGAAATCTTTAGAAAATTTTCTGAAGAAAATTTTCTGAAGAATTTCATGATGTTATTTCCAATGTTAATAAAAATTTTCTTGGTAATTTGGGTTCTACTTGGTCTTAGGCCAATACTTTAAATCAGTTCTTATTAGAAGGAGTCATCAACTCTGTCCTTCCTTCTTCAATCCCATAATTCTTGCACAAATCCTGCATTAAAACTGCTTAAAATGGGGCAGAAAGGAGGTTTGAATCCCAAGTCTGCCATTAAATCCCTGTGTGACCATGAACTACTTACTCAAAAATCTGGGCCTCTGCTTTCCCTTATGACAAATGGAAATAATAAAACTGCTTCACGGGAATTTTCCAAGGAATATCTATAAAAGCACTCTGATAATAGAAAAATACATACATCATCATACATCATCTTTATGAACAATTTTTACTGAATTATGTAAGCTCCTCTTTCCCCAGCAAATTGTCAAAGCGGCAAAACCATCTTCTTAACATGTTGTGTTTTTTTAAGCTGGTATGGTAAGCCACACCTGTAATCCCAGCACTCTGGCAGGCTGAGGCAGAAGGATCACACATCTGAGCCCAGGCAAGGCCAATTTAGTGACTCAGCAAGATCCTGACTGAAAAAAAGGGCTGGGATGTAGCTCAGTGCAAAGGTCCTCACTTCAATACCCAGGTTTTTTTTTGGGGGGGGGGTGGTTTTTTGGTACCGGGGATAGAACTCAGAACCAGAACTCGGGACCTTGTGCTTTCACAGCAGACGAAATTCCCAGTTTTTTTTTTAAAAAGTTATTTTTAACCTGGCATACTGAACTACTGGTCCTGGAAGAAAGAGTTGTTAGGTTCCTGCAAGCCTCTGGTTGTAACATCTTTGTCACCCAATCAATACATAACCTTGTTTTGTGTGTTTCTTTGAAAGATCCCCCCTTACTAGTCATTAACATTCATTTCACAGGCAAAAGCATTATAACTCCTTCCTGAGCAAAACTAACTTAACACGCATAATGAACATCACTGCCTTCTTGCACTTAGCAACACTAGACAGAACTTGAGCACTACTTTTGGGGACCATTTTACACAAGGAAATGACCAAAACAAGCACAAAAATATGGTACTAAATAGACCATAAAAAATATTTATTTATGGCCCAGGGATTTAGGTCAGTGGATCTGCCACCTGCCTCACAAGCACAAGGTCTCAAGTTCGAGCCCCAGTACCAAAAAAAAAAAATTTATTTACAACACTGAAATCTGAAACAAGAAGTCAGAGTTGTCTTGTTTGCCCTCAGCTGGGAACGTGTACACTGCTGATTCAAATTTCTCAACCCTTTGTACATGTTTGCAAATGACTGAAAGTGCTGTGAGCTACTGATTTGGCAACTACAAGTAAATTTCAGCAACTAGATCAATTCACAAATACAGAACACAAGAGTAATAAAGACTGATTACAGTCAACAAATCCACTCTATAATTCCCCTGTGGTACCTATACTCTGAATCCCAGCATCTAATTCAATTCCATAGTCCAGAGACATTGTAGCAAGTCTCCTACAAGTTATAGAGTAAAGTGTAGTGTCACCAGATGGGTCTCAGGAGGTCCCTCAAAGAGGTGACAGAGGGCCGGGGATTTAGTTCAGTGGTTTCACCCCCTGTTGCGCAAGCGCAAGGACCCCAGTTCGATCCCCGGTACCAAAAAAAAGAGGTGACAGAAAGCTCAACTCATCCTGCCAGGTTGGTTTGACTCTCATCATAGAAAAGCATTTCAGGGGGCCGGGGATTTAGCTCAGTGGTTCCACCGCCTGCCTCACAAGTGCAAGGTACCAAGTTCGATCCCCGGTACCAAAAAAAAAAAGAAAGAAAAGCATTTTAGGTTGTATCAGTGAGAGGCATAGGCTGACTTACTGGACAGATAGAAAATAAGAGAAAATAGCCAAGTGTGGTGGTGTACACCTGTAATCTCAGAACTCAGGAGGCTGAGGCAGGATTGCTCCAAGTTCAAGGCCAGCTTGGGCTATGTAGTGAGTTCAAGGCCAGGCCAGCCTGAACTACACACAGTGAGACTCTATCTCAAAAAACAAACACAAACAAACAGAAAATAGAGAAGGAACTTCAGCCTGAGGAGCTAGAGGGGGCACAACTCTGAGGAGGATCAGAGTGGCCCATTAACAAAAGAATGAGACCTAGTTGTATGGATTTACTGGAGTGGGCTGAGTCTTTAGGGTCCAATTCCATCTCCAGAAGATGATTACTTCTGCTGGAGGCAGCCTCAGTTTTGTAGAAGTCAACCTCCAAGATGATCATAGGTTTATGGCAGTGATGGTGAACCTTTTAAGAGCTTTCAATAACACAGAGCCTGCTGCGGTATGTGTGCCATAGATTTGCCACCATTGGTTTAAGGCAATGACTAGAGACTCCTGTGCATCTCTGGTAGGTGAACATCTTTATAAACCTCTTATCTTTGAGCTCTCAGTCTTGAAGAAGGATAAAACAGGTCATATAAATTTAAGGGTAATCAACCTTGTCTTGCCAACTTTTAGGCACTCCGTAAATTATTAATATGTCTATATGCAGAGCTAATCAAGGACCTCACCCAAAGTTTTAAGGTAATAAATGAAGGGGAAAGCTTTGTTCTGATTTACTTACCTATTGGGCATCTATAGGCCCAAATGAAGAGTCACTATTTTTTAGCAAAACTGGTTTTTGCTTGTTTTGTGAGCATGGGGATTGTACCCATGGCCTTCACACACAGGGACACCCCCAGCCATTGTTTATTTTTTAGACAGAGTTTTGTTAAGTTACTAAATTGCCCAAGCTGGGCTTTAACTTTTGATCCTCCTGCCTCAGGCTCCCTGAATACTGGGATTACAGATGTGCACTACCTTGTCCAGCTCCAAAAACTGCTTTTAAGTCCCTAACTGCCTCAGAAGAATACATAAATCATTCTCTTAATGAATAACAGGTTGAGGACCCAGAAATTTGTCCTCTGCCCCCATGATGGCCTCTGAGTGTCACAACAAAAGGATACTTCCAGACAGAAGCAGAGAATATTCAACAATTCTTTCAAAAAGTATTAGGGCTTCAGGTATAACTGAGTGGTAGAGCACATGCTTAGCATATGCAAGGCCTTTGATCCCTAGCACCAAAAACAAAAATTTTTTAATTACTGTATACACTCTATTACTTTGTTAAAGGTGTCCAATCTGAGCTTTCAAAAGATTGACTACATACAGGAAGGATTTGAACAAATCAGTAAACGCATTAAGGGTGAGATGTCAAGTTTCTATGAGAGAAAGGAGTTAACAAACATGGCAAGGGAGAAGGGAAGAATAAATTTTATGATAATGGACTGGATTAGAGTAACTGGTATATGTTTAATATATACAGACATAGAAAGATATATGTACAGTCATGTGTATGTATATAAATACACATATTTCCTACCCATGTCTTATTAGGGACTGGAAACAATGACACCCCAGTAGCAACAAGCACATGTAGCTCTCAGATTTGGTTTCTAAACAGCAATATTCACTAGAAGGAACGAGTCTTCCCTGGGGAAAAGTTGGCTCCTGAAAGGGGCTGCTGCTCCTCAAAGCCTTAGCATTATGTGATTAGCTTAAACAATCTTTCTGCTTTAATCACCTGTCCCTTAGTCCAGGTCTTCATCACTTCCTTCAAGATTCCTTAAGTAGCTTCTGACCTTAGAACTCTAATCTCAGCCCCCTCTGCTTGATCCATTCACAACTGCTATGAAGATTGTTATGGCTTGTGTCTTAAATGTCCCCCAAAGCTACATGCAATCATAGGTGGGGCTTTTTCAGAGGTGGCTTGATGCAGCATGTGTGACATTGGGATTAGGTTCAAGGGCACTAGGATTAATGGTGTGAGTGCTACCCATTCTAAGTAGCCTGGATAAGATATAAGGGAAAGAAAAAGCTGTGGTCATCCCTCACTTCCTTCGCTACCTTCTGCCCACCATGAACAGTTTCTCCTCTGCGATGGCTGTCTGCCACCCACCCTGCCTTGGAGCCAGCCAATTATGGACTGAAACCTCTACAAACTGTGAGCTAAATAAACCTTTTTTCCTTTAACTTTCAGTGTCAGGTATTTGTCTCAGCAACAAGAAAAGTAACTAAGACAGAGATCTATTAAAACAAAAATCTAAGGGCCAGGGATTTAGCTCAGTGGTTCAGCCGCCTGCCTCGCAAGTGCAAGGACCCAAGTTCGATACCCGGTACAAAAAAAAAAAAAATCTAGTAGTGGGAATACAAGTACTTATACATTGACTTTTTTTACTTTTAAAATATTCTTAAATTTTTAATTAAATGAAAAAAAGAAACACAAATTTTCCTCTGATCAGTGGTGGTTATGAGAAGAGAGCAACACGAGAAAATAATTACAAAGAGGCACAGAGAAACTTGTGAGCGACGAGTATGTTCATCACTTGTAGTGTAGTGACAGCTTTTGAGGTGTATACCTGTGTCAAGCCTTACCAGATTGTACAATTAGTCTACAGCCATACCACCCTGAACACACCAATCTTGTCAGATTGTACAATTAAATCCTGCAATTTATTGTATGCCAGTTAGTCCTCAACTTAATGAAAAAAATTAAATTAGGAAAAAACAGTAAGTGGACTCAAAAACTTCTCTTGCTTAAAATACTTCCCCAAAGGCTCCCCCTCTGCCTCCAGGATAAACCTCAAACTCCTAACCATGATACCCAAGGAGTCTTATACCATTTTGGCACAAGTAATCTCAAGTTCAGTCAGATTTACTTACAGTTCCTTTCCTAGCATTACTAAAATAATCTAATTCTTCTCTTCTATGTCCTTTCCTCATTCTCTAATGCTCTCATTTCATTCAATGATTTCTCTTGTCTTCAAGTGCCTCTCTTTTCTGCTTCCATACATTTATCTGTACCTGTTAAAGAATTCTATTTAGGTTTCTGGGTGTTTGCAGTTTTTTTAATCTCCGCTATTAGATTATAAACTTAAGTAAAGTTTATGTTTTTCATGCACAGTACCTTGCATAGTTCCCAGAATGGAGCAAACACTCAATTAATTAAAAAGAAAAGAAATCTTTATGCAGCAGTACAGCCGGTCATGGTGGCACTTGCCTGTAATCCCAGCACTTGGGAGATTGAGACAGGAGAATTGCTGCAAGCTCAAGGCCAGCCTGGGCTATGTGGTGCGTTCAAGGACAGCCTCAACTACATAGTGAGACCTTGTCTCAAAATAAATAAATAAATAAAAAATCTTTACACATATCATAGTACCTAGTCTAAACCCCTTTGCAGAATGGGTGATCAATAAATATCTGCTACTGGGCCGGGGATTTAGCTCAGTGGTTCCACTGCGTGCCTCCCAAGCACAAGATCCCAAGTTCGATGCCTGGTACAAATAAATAAATAAATAAATAAATATCTGCTACTTTCTGGTTTACCGCCAACTTCAAGGGGTCCTTTGGGAATTTCCATTGCCTTATCACACATTATATTTTAATATATGCTAAAAAGACCTATCACTATCAGAGTATAGTGAAAGAGATTTTCCTTATTTAAACTTGCATTGTAACAAAAAAGGTAACTAGAAATGAATTTTTAAAAAACCAAGACCCAAGTAATAAGAGGGCAGAAGAAGAGATGGTTTTTACAGATGTTAGCACCTAAGAAGAAATGATTTGCATGCTCAGGGACAAGAATAAAATAGCTGGAGCCGCTATTAACTTCCAAGACAAATCAATGTGTTCATTTCAAGTTTCTAGCTCAATAACCTCCCCCCCATATCTATCTTAAAAGCTAAGAGATTTAGGGAATGGGATATAGCTCAGTGGTAGAGTACTTGCCTAGCACCATGCATGAGGTCCTGGGTTCCATCTCCAGCATGGAAAAAAAAGAAAACCAACTAATTTACTAGTTGTCATTTCCCCAGATGCCCTCAAATCTCAATTAGTTTCTGAGGCCAGGGATTTAGCTCAGTGGTTCCGATGCCTGCCTCACAAGCACAAGGTCCCGAGTTTGATCCCTGGTACCAAGAAAAAAAAAAAATCTCAATTAGTTTCTGCCTTGGAACCAACAGTTGCTTCACCAAGAGAATCTCGTTTATAGAAACTGTTTCTTGTGCTTGCTTCAGCAGCACATATACTATAGAAACTATTTCTCAAATATTTATTGAACAGCATACTGCACTTTGCTGGGCTGGCAAGCAATACAAGAAGTAAAACTGCAGTGTTTCTAAGTCATACATAAAGAGCCTAAAACTCACAAGTGGTAAAATAACTCAAAATAGACCCTGGCAGGAAAAGACAGTATCTGCCGTGAAAAAGTGTTCTTGAATCAGTTAAAGACTTGCGAAATTATAAACTGTCCAGTCCCTCTATGATTAGAAACTAAGATGTGTGCCCATCTAACCTTTTTTTCTGCTGCCACTTTCTTTCTCCTTTAATTCCTAGAGGTCAGGGTATGCTAGAAAGAGTGAATTGCACGAACATTGGGCCCAAAATTCAAGAGGTACAATAGCTTCCACATATGGATGCTAAGAGTCTAGTAGTCTTTCTTTAGTTCATTCATTCATTCAACAAGTATTGGCTGCACACCTAGAATGTCCCAGACCCTGTGGTAAGCAAAATCAAAACCACCTACATAATCCCGATTCTTGTGTACCTCTCAGTCTAATACTGTAGTCTGTGTTTCACTTAACTGTACAGTTAAGAATTGACATACGGTCTCTTAAACAAACTAAATCTCTAAAGCCAAAGGGACTGCAAGGAGATAAATGTCGTCGTTTTTTCTTATGGGGTCACTGAAGCCCCAAAATGTCTTGCCCAAGGTCACACCGTGCCACAGGGGCAGGCAGGGACTTTAACCCGCGTATCCCGCAACTCCATCAGCGTCCCAAGTGGTCCTCCCTGCGAGGAAGGAGTTACAGAAAGTGATGGAGGAATAGCAAACCTCATCAAATAATGGTCCAATGTTCCTCCCTTCTCGAAAGGAGTCGCCAAAGCCAAACCAAGAACCGGGACAAGTGGAAAGCTGCCTTAGTTTCCCCGCGGAAAAGCGGCCACACAGCCAAGCAATCTCACAGGAACCCCTTTTGCATTTCCTTCCAGCTTCTCCCGGCCCGCCCTCTCGGATTCCAACCCGGAGACCCGGCAGGCGACCATAGAAAATTACTCCTGCACTCACAAGGACTCGCACCAGCAACGCCATGTTCCTCAACAACCATTTCCGGGTGAAGGGTGGGCTTCCGGAATCCCCGCGGCCACTATCCCTTCACTACGTCGTCCTTTTACCAACGGGAATCCGGTAACCACAGCGCAGGCGCACAGGCCCCGTACGTGAGTTTGCGCTTCCCCTTTGCGCGTGGGGAGTTCAAACTCGTCTATGCTCTTCCCCGCTGTGTTTTCCCAGTTTCGCAGCACAGTAGCTCAAAACCTCCGACACCACTTCCTGATTTCTGTCTCTCATATCCCGGCCTTTATCTTGTACCTGCCTAGCCCGACTTCTGAGCAAACCTTTTGCTAGAGTCACTCCTTTCCAGACCTCCAGCAGAAGTATCCATTTACAACGGGAGCTTGAAGAGAGCAGGACTTTGGTGAATCTCAATATTTAAAAAGAGCCTAAGGGGCCGGGGATTTATCTCAGTGGTTCCGGCGCCTGCCTTGCAAGCGCAAGGTCCCAAGTTCAATCCCCGGTACCAAAGAAACCAAAACAAGGGCCGGGGATTTAGCCCAGCGGTGCTGCCGCCTGCCTCGAAAGCACAAGGTCCTGAGTTCGATCCCCGGTACCAAAAAAACAAATAAATAAATAAAAAATAAAAAAGAGCCTAAGAAGGAATCTGAGAAACATGAGACAGAGTCTTGAGAGTCAAGGGAAGAAAATAATCACATGCTGATCTAAAGCTTAAGAGAAGAAGAAAGTCTGAGTTTGTGGTTATTGTTTAGTGGAAACTTCTTTGAGTGTTGTTGGGAAAAGATTAGTAAAGATGAGGATACTGGAAGAAGAATCAAGGATGCAAGGAGTTTCCCGAGGAAGTGGCCTTTTCTGAGGAGAATGGGCTTGGCTCTAGAACTCTTCGTTGTATCCCAGAAGTAGAGGAGAGAAGGTGTGTGTCCCACGGGCTGACTGGGAGCAGAGGGCCAGGATGTTGAAGGACTTCTTTCAATTCATTCAACAAAGATCCATACAATGTTCCCTATGTACTAGACACAAAACAGATGTGGATACTGGCTTCATGGGGCTCATAAACTAACGAGGGAGATAGGAAACTAGTCCAGTGAAAAAAATAAAAACTGTGCTAAGTGTTATGAAGGAAACAGCTAATGTAGAGAATAAGGCGGAGAACTGTTTTTGACTGTGTGGCCAGGTAGAGCCTGTGTGAGGAGGTGACATGTAGGATGAGATCTCTAAAGGATCAAAAGGAGCTAGCCATGAGAAGTGGCTTCACGTGTGCTATTCTTTTAATGTAAATGTATTTTTGTAAATGTATTTATTGTGTTGACAAATTGAGATTCTATATGTGTGTCACGATGTTTTGAAATGTGTTTTCATTGTGGAAACCAGGCATGGTATCACACACCTGTAATCCCAGGACTTGGGAGGCTGAGGTAGGAGGCTGAGGTAGGAAGATCACTGAGTTCAAGGCCAGGCTGGGCTACGTAGTGAGTTCCAGCCTGAAGAACTACGTAGCAAAACCCTGTCTCAAAGAAATGTGTGTACATTGTGAAATAGTTAAATTAAACCAATGTATGTATGACTTATTTTTGTGATGAAACATTTCAAATCTACTTGCTAACTGATTTTCAAGAATACAGTCTACAGTTATTAACTATAGTCACCTAAATGAAATTTTGTATCCTTTAACTAACATCTTCACGGCAGGGATTTAGCTCAGTGGTTTCACTGACTGCTGCACAAGCGCAAGGACCTGAGTTCGATCCCCAGTACCAAAAAAAAAAAAAACAACCATAACTAACATCTTCCCAACCCTCTTTCAACCTCTGGTAACCACCATTCCACTCTCAACTTTTAGAAGTTCATCTGTTTTAGATTTCACATATAGGTGAAATTGTACAGTATTTGTCTTTTTGTGCCTAGCTTATTTCACTTCGCATAACATCCTCCAGGTTTATCCATGCTGTCACAAAAGACAAAATTTCCTTTTTTCAAGATGAATAGTATTTCAATGTATATATAACCCACATTTTCTTTATCCTTTAAGTTAATTTTAGGTCTTGGCTATTTGAAATACTGCAACAAACATGGGAATGCACCTATCTCTTCAACATACTGATTTCAGCTGCTATAGATACATATCCAATAGTGGGATAGCTGTATTATATGATAATTGTCTTTTTATTTTGAGGAACTTCTATACAGTTTTCCATAATAGCTATACTCTACTAATTTGCATTCTTACCCACAGAATACAAGTGTTCTCTTTTTTCCCATCCTCATCAACACTTGTTGTAATAGCTATTCTAACAGTTGTACTATTCATTGTGGTTTTAATTTGCATTTCCTTTATGGTTAATGATGAGGCTTTTTATATGCCTATTGGCCATTTATATTTATTCTCTGGAGAAATGTCTATTTTTGAAGATGCTTTTCCCATTTTATGTTTGCTTTTGTTTTGTTTTGTGCTATTGGGGATTGAATACAGGCCCTCACAAGTGCTAGCAAGCACTCTACTGCAGAGCTACATCCCCAGCCTTCTTTGCCTTTGTGTGTGTGAGGTGGGAGGTGGTACTGAGGATTGAACCCAGAGCCTTCACACTGATAGACATCCCTAGCCCCTTTTTCTTACTTTTTATTTTGAAACAGGATATTGCTAAATTATCCAGGCTGGATTAAAACTTGCAGTCCTCTTGCCTTAGTCTCCCAGAGTGCTAGGATTACAAGCATACACCACCACACCTGACTCTTTCCCCGTCATTAAATCACATTAGTTATTTCCTTGTTATTGAGTTCAGTTCCTGATATAGTTATTATATTAATCATTTACCAGAAATATGGTTTTGTTGGGGCCAGGGATTTAGCTCAGTAGTTTCACCACCTGCTGCACAAGTGCAAGGACCCGAGTTCGATCCCTGGTACCAAAAAAAAAAAGAAGAAGAAGTATGGTTTTGTAAATATTTTCTCCCACCACACAAATGGTCTCTTCACTCTGTTTACTGTTTCCTTTGCTGTGAAAAAGCTTTTTAGTTTGATGTAATCCTATATGTCTGTTTTTGCTTTCATTCCCTATGCTTTTAGGGTCATATCTAGAAAAATTATTGCCCAGACCAATGTCATGGAGGTTTCCCCTACTTTTTCTTCTAGTAGTTTTAAAGTTTCTGGTGTGATTTTCAAGTCTTTAATATATTTTATTTTTGTTGTTGTTGTTGTTTGGTAACGGAGATTGAACTCAGGACCTTGCGCTTGCAAGGCAGGTGGTGGAACCACTGAGCTAAATCCCCAGCCCCTTTAATACATTTTATTTTTTGTCTCACTGTGCAGTCCAGGCTGGCCTTGAGCTCACTATGTACCCCAGGCTGGCCTCGCATTCGTGGTGATCCTCCTACCTCAGCCTCCAGAGTGCTGAGATTACAATGTGCACCACCACACCCAGCTTTAACACATTTTGAATTGACTTTTGTATATGGTGTGAAGGTGACATTTATACATATACATGTAGATACCAGTTGTTCCATCACCATTTATTGTAGAAGCCAGTAGCCAGAGATTATAGCCATGTACCACCATGGCTGGCTTGTTGTTGTTTTTATATAGAATATAAAAATATCCCTCATTAATATTCCATTTGAAAGCTTTTACAAGCCTAAGTGAAGACATTACACACATAGTTGGGTAGCTTATATGTGCATATTGGAAACCAATGGTGCAGGGCTCTGCACATAAATTAGGACAAATTTTATCACATTAAAACAGATAAGAGAAATATTCTAGTTAAATTTAAGAGGCAAATGTGACACAAAAACTATACCATCTTAGTTTTTCATTGCTGTAATAAAATACCTGAGGTATTTTAACTTTGCAAAGAAAGAAGGTTTATCTCACAGTTTTGGGACTGCAAGGCATGGCACTGGAATTGACTCACTTCTAGTGAGGGCTTACTTGGTTGTGTCACATTATGACAGATGACAGTGATGATAGCATATACAAGGAGCATGTGTGGGTGGCAGCAATCATGTTGCCAAAAGGAAGTCAGAGCGAAGTGGAGCCAGGTTCAAGCTTTTTAATAACAGTCTTGTGAGAACTAACTTAATCTCTTCCCAACAGTGGCACCCTCTATTGACCCAAGGATCTTCCACTAAACCCCACCTTTTAAAAGATTCCATATCACCTCCCAGTAATGTCACCCTGGGGACCAAACTTCCAACACGCAAAATTTTGGGGCACAGGGCCGGGGATTTAGCTCAATGGTTCCACCACCTGCCTCACAAGTGCAAGGTCCTGAGTTTAATCCCTGGTATTAAAAAAAAAAAAAAAGAAAAGAAAAAGAAAATTGGGGGCCACACTCAAATGCAGCGTATGCAAATAAGTCCAAGTCAGCAATCCACACGAGATAATGGATTAAAATGTTGGCGACAAGAAAAGATTGACATGCAATTTCCTTGCAGATGACCTATTTTCTCTGTGAAGAGAGGAGTGGTTCTATTTAGAGAAATGCCAATGTTATGTGGCATACTTTAGAAGACAGAAGAAAGTTTACAGTTTAATAGAGAATGAAAGAAGAGGGCCCAGGGAAAAATTGAGAACCTAGCTAAAGTTGGACACTTCCCTTTTTCATTTTTTTGTCAGTACATTTGCAATACATATTGAATGCATTCATTGTGGAGAGTTGGTACATATACATATCACACCTTAGTCCTTTTTACTTCTCCTTTGCTTTTTAATTTTATTTTTTCTGTATTGGGAATTGAACCCAGAGCTTTTACACTAAGCTAAATCTCCAGCCCTTTTTTTGTTTTGTATTTTGAGACAGAGTCTCACTAACTTTCTAAGTTGCCCAGACTAGGCTTGAAGTCACAATCTTCTTGCCTCAGATTCCTAGAGTACTGGGATTACAGGTTAATTTGTTAATTTTAAATTAATAAGTATTATGTGGTTACATTCTCTTTTCTAAAAGTTAGCACATTTCAAATTACAGGTGCTTTTTACTACCACTTTGAATCCCAGTTCCTTCCAGCCTTTTTAAAATTGATTTTTCTTCCAGGTCTTTTAAAAATTCATCATGCGCATGTACATGTTTGTTCTCTTAAAAAAAGTATCATTTTGTTGGTTGTAGGGTTTTTGTT